CTTCAAGGAACTATAGTTTCTATAGCATTATAACCCAAACCAAATGTCTTCTGAGGCACAATGGAAAATAATTATCCCATATTTTCTGAAATGTAAGGAATAAATAGCTTCCTTTAAATTCTTTAAATATTTATTTCTTTTTTCAGATACTACCATCTAAACATTATTTATATTGTGTTTGTTTTTTTTTAATATAGGAGTTATTTGAGTTGGTTTTAAGATCTGAATACAATGATAGGCTTATAATATATTTTTGCATCACCCAACAGCCAAAAAGAGGAGTTTAGAAAGACCAAAAAACCCCAAAACAGCAACAACAAAACCACATCAGAATAAGCACTTCCTTTTCCATTTTATTAATGTGGATTAGCTATCTTTACACACACACACACGAAATAATTAGATTAAAAATGGTTATAAAGATATTTTTACAGAATGTTACTTAGTGGGAACTGAAATAGGTGGAATGAAAAAAAGATAGCTAGAAAACCTCTTATTGACAGTGTTGGACTTTCTTACCTGTTAAACTCTGTATACCAAGAAAAGTTCAAACCCTTCTAACTTATCTACAAAAGCATTTTTCAGAAGAAAAGCAAAATGCAATAGAGTTGTGGAATTATTGAGATAATAACAGTAGGATGCATTTCCAGAAACGCTGAAGTATACATAAGTGTCAGGACTACACCATGATCCAGTGGATAAGTACCTAACTTTGCAGACTCTGAAGGACTCCCTGGTAAGTTATAAAAAGACCCAAACATGCCAAACATCCAGCAAAAGCTGAGAATTCAGTATGTATTCAGGGATACAAAAGCCCAGATTCTCCTATGTGATCTCTGCTATTCAGCAAATCCTTCTTTTAGTGGCAAATTGGTATCAGATAAAAAAAAATTAGGGAAAAAAAACAAAGAATGAAGTAAGAATTCCCAGGATATTAGCATCTTCCAGGATTAGAATTTTGTTCACTCTTCACTTCACAAGAAGGTCCATGCAGAAGGAAAGGCAAGTAAGCCTAAAACATCTCAACACTTATCCATCTGAAAAAAAAAAGAAAAAAGAAAAAAAAAAGACAACCACCAATTCCTTCAGTCTAGGGAAAGATATTTTTAATTGGATGTATTTATACTAAGATGATTTATATGTCGATGCTCATGTCACTTTAGAGATGGTTTATCACACCATAATCATGGTTTAGAATTGCCTGCTCGATGAAATACTTTGAAATAGCTATTCTGTGATTGCTATTCCATGCCAACTCACCATGTAAATATCCCTTATTACCTATTTGACTTCATAACTCCAGGAGTGTCAGTGTACCAACCCACAATACCAGGGAAAGGTAATATGATTCTGCAGCATACCACTGACTTTAATGTACCCATCCTGACCCTTAGTGTGCAGAGCAGTTAACCATAACAAAACAGTGTTTTGCTTGACTGCAATTTCAAACGTTGGTCATTTCTACATCATGTAGTAGTGTCTATAACTGAAATAACGCAGACTTTCTCTACGTTATGTAGACACTCTATAAATCAGCTCAAAAACTGAGCAATCCTCAGTTACCCATAAACGATACAGAATTTTTGTAATTAAAATGTAGAGTAATATTACTTAGAAATCAAAGACTCACTGCTAATCAATAAGACTAAGGCTCTCAATTAGTGTTTTCAAAACAGAAATCCAGCAGGGCAGACACCTTCAGAATTGCTTTCTGCTGAAACTTGAATAATTTGTATGCCTCAGCATGTTCCTGTTAGTGAAAAACTGAGGTTCTGCTGACATCTGTTGATAAATGTCTGAACAGCAGAACTGGTGTCTTACAATTAAGTAAGTGGCATTTTAAAAACACAAAGAAAACAGAAGTCAAGGTACAGACCTGGCTTCTTTCTATAGCAGAAAATTTTCTAGTCATTGTCAAATCATGGCAGTAGAATGAGACAGGGGAAAGGATGAAAAGGAAAGGTAAAAACAAAATTTGCTGGTTTTTTTGGTAAGACGTTCCCCCACAAGAAGGATGAGGTCACTTCCTACTGAGTCAAAACACAACTTGCAGTGAGTCAAATTAGATATGCTGATTAAGCCGAAAGAAATCGGCTAATGACTGGATGATCAACAGAAATGTAATTAATATCAGCAGAGACCAGAATGTGTTTTTCAAATGATTGAATTCATGCTAATATGGAAATGTGATGATAATGACAACTGTGAGATGTTAAAACTTGGGTTTGTTTTGTTTTGTTTTGTTTTGTTTGAAGTACAGGAAGAATTTTTGCTTACTCAGCAGAGTATCCTCAAAACTTAGTAAAAAATCATTAATAAACTCTACTGGAGGGTTTTTGAGCAAGTAATTTCTTTCTAGAAATTTCACTTGCTGTTACAACACTAAACAATTAAATCTGGTCTCAAAGCTAAAATTAGGATAAAGTCCCAACAGTAATCTCTTTAAACTTTGTGTTAGTTAAGAAAAGGGAGTATGTTAAGAAAAAGGGAGAAGATGGCTACATCTTTCATAGTAAGTATTTCTGTTAACAAAAAATGTGCTACACTCTCTTCCATTTGTACAGGGAGCGCATGCTCACCACTAAGAAAAACATGTTTTGGGCAATGCTTTAGGCACTGTGTAACCTGTAATAACTGCTTTTCTGATAAGGAAAGCTCAGACGGTGCAATTTTGCTTCTTTATCTACTGTTCATGTGTGAGTCCTCCTCCTTCCTCCCCCCATAAGGAACAAAAGGGAAATTTACGTTAAAGAGAAAATTCACTTTCTGCCCATCCCTGGTGCTCACCTTTGAAAGAATATTACTAGTTGTAAAATACGAGCCAAATGATCTTATCCTGGAAAACCATGCATGTGGGTATCTTTGTATCTTCCCACTTTCTCTGTATCCGGGATGAATTGAAAGGTATTATGATGGATAATTACTGTGACTACTTAGATGCTTGCCAGGCCATGTTGTAATAACTCTGCACTGGTATGAGAGCGTTGTTCTAGACTGAAAAATAGGGGCATTCCTGTGCCAGCTGCACAGAAGTGTGCGGTCTGGCTGCCCTCTCCTGGCACATCAGAGTTCTTCAAGTGCCTGAAGAACATCTGTGCATAACTCAGTATGTTACAGTGGGCTGCTTTTACTGCACAAAGCTGATCTACAGATACATTGTGGAAATGTCTGGGATGTTTGGATGCATGGCTGGCTGCTAGGTCAGAAGTACTTATAAGCATAACCAAGATGCTGAACATCCAAAAATTCTGGACAAATGTGGAATGTTCACATTAACAACGGACAACATTTCCAGGCTGAAGAAGATGACCTTTTTTTCTGCAGGAAAACTGCAGCTCTGGATCAGATGCAAGGACTTAGATGTGTAGAAACTGAAGTTGAGAGGACTCAGAACTCTGCCAGCTGGACAGCCAGACTCAGAGGGCAGTGTCATTGGTGAAAAGCCTGGTTAGAGATCAGTAACCAGCAGAGTACCCCAGGGGTTGGTTCTGCATTCAGTCATGTTTAACATCTCCATGAATGGATGATGGAGCAGGGAGTCTCCCCAGTAAAGTTACAGATAACACCAAACTGGGGGCAGTGGCCAACACAGCAGGGGGCTGTGCTGCCACCCGGAGGAACCCCAACAGCACAGGGCTGACAGGGACCTCCAGGGGTTCAGCAAGGAGAAGTGCAAGGCTGCACCTGGGGAGGAACAGCCCCAGGAACCAGGACACCCAGCTGGAAAGCAGCTCTGCAGAAAAGGGCCTGGGGCTTCAGGGTGTACCAAGGTGTGCATGAGTTGGCAGCTGAGTGCCATTTGTGCTGAGATGGCAATCACTGTTCTTGGCTGCATTAGGCAGAGTTGTCAGGAGGTCAAGGGAAATGATTCTTCCCCTCTACATTGGTGAGGTCCCACCTGGAGCACTGTGCTGGGCCCCCAGTACAAGAGAGACCTGGACATACTGGAAAGGGTCCAGTGGGGGGCCATCAAGATGCTGAAGAGACTGGGACACCTCTGCTGTGAGGAAAAGCTGAGAGAGCTGGGCCTGCTCAGCCTGGAGAAGAGGAGGCTCAGGGGGATCCCATCAATGCCTGTAAGTGCCTGAGGGGAGGGTGCAAAGATTGCATTGTTTGGCTCTTTTCACAGTGGTGCCCTGTGCTCAGGCAACTAGCAAACTTTTGGCAGCACAGGGCACACCAAGGCATCTCCATTACCTTGCTGTCTGCATTTTGTGAGCACCAATGCAAAAGGTGTAGTTGGCCTTACACAGGATTAAATAGGGCAATAAAGGAAGAAGGAAAACTGACCGTAAGAGAAGGGATGAGAGACATGAAGACTTATGGACGTAAATGAAACTTATGAATGTAGTTAGATCAGTTATTAACAGTAATCGTTATTGTGTGGCCTTATTCCGTCACACGTACACAATCCACCCTCAAAGTAAGCCCATTTAGAGATGGTAACTCTTCTCATTAAGTGTATTGAATCAAGACACATTTCTGAGTTGGTAAGTGTGAAGGTTTGATTCAATTTCTGGAATGCTTTATATTATTGTCATTCTAACCACAACTTTATCAGGGACTGTGCAGTCTTTGGGCTGCTCTTGCCTGTAGACTCTTATCATGTGTAAACATTGTTGCCTCCAGCTCTGCATCATGCATCACACGTACACAGGAGTTGCTTGGTAGAGAGCAGTCGAACTCACCCCGTAGTAAGCATGGTTTTGTCAGGGTTGTGAGCCGAAACTTCGAAGCAACATCTGTTCAGAAGGCAAGCAACGTGGCCGTGCTGCTGGTCAGAGGACCAAGAGCTACATGCTTCTAGTATTTTTGTGATACTAGAGATCACTCCGTCACTTCGAAGAAAAACTGTGAGTTTTCTAACACAAGAATCCCTATTACAAACAAACACCGGGGTGACGATGCTCGAAGTGATCCACCCCATACTCCTAGAGGAGCCCCGGGGGCAGCCGGCGCGGCGGCCTCCAACAGAGGGCGCTGCCGCCTCGGTCCGCCGCCGGCCTTCCCTGGATAGGGCGGGTCTTATGGCGGCTCCGCTGCGCCTGGGCCGTGCTGTGAGCTCGCTGCCGGCCGCTGCCGCTCGAGTTGCAGCGTCGCAGCCCCTTCCGCGCCTCTCTTCCTCCTCTTCTCGTCGCTCTGCGCCTCCTCCCGCCATGCAGGCCTTCCAGTACCCCGAGGTGTACCGCGACGAGGCCGCCGTGAGTACGGCTGGCGCGGGGGGCAGCCCGCACTCGGAACTCCGATTCGGGGGCGCCTCGGCGGCCCGAGCGGCTTTGTCGGGGGGAAGCCTGCCGCGCTCCCTTTCGAGGCCCTCCTTACGTTAGCGCCCGGGGGTGGCCGGGCGCGGGGATGGGCCGTGCGGGGCGGGTCGCGGCGCTCTGCCGCTGCGGCCCTGCGGAGCCGGGTTGGGGGCTCGGGGGGCGGCTTCCGAGCGGCTGGGAAATGCGGGCCTGCCTGGCTGCCGGAGGGGCGCCGCCGGCTTCTCCGTGATGGTGCACCGGGAACGTAATGTCTCCGCGTGTTCCAGCGTGGTACCCGCGTGGATCGCGGTGTGAGTTTGTAGGGAATCGTGCGTGCTTCGCAGTTCTTCCTCGTATTGCTGTGCTTTGTACGCCGGGCCAGGAATTATTTGCAGCGCACACTTTGCTTTTAACCCAAAATGTTGGCAGAGGTGAGCTGGAAAGACTCAAGTATTTAATTCCGTAGTTAAGCGGAAGGCTGAACCATGCGACTCCAGGTATCTCGGTGCCTTTTGTGTGCTGGAGCAAGTGGGCAGATAGGAGCTAATTTGGGTGCTAAAAATGGTTTTCTTTTCATCAGCGTGTGTACTTTGCTGAAAGTTTGTGAGCATTACATGGAGGGGTGTAGTAACTGCCAGGGGCAGAACCCGAATTTACACTTCTGGGTTCAACCTGGAGTCAGGTTTTGAGATTTCACTTAAGCATCTGGATTTGAAAGAGGTCTGGTTTGTTTGTTTTTAAATGAGCTTTCTAAGCTACCTTGTGGAAAGAATTAAGGTTTGTCCTGTGCGTTTCTCTGGTGTTATTTTTTTTCCCCTAAGGATTATTGCTGCCATAGTTCTTCCACCAAAAAATGATAGAACTAACAACTCACCTGAGAGCAAGATGCTGGTGTCCTTTTCTTTTGCTTCTTAGCATCCTCTTCTTTTGCTTTTTAGCACTATGTGCTTCTGTTGAAATTCCAAATAAACTTTGTTTCAGTGTGGCTTATTCCCTGGTAAAAAGTTTATTGTATAAATGTCTTTTTTTTTTTTTTTTCTCATTATTTTTTCAAAGTATTGTCTCTTATTAATTCAGGTATTGGATTACCATGGACACAAAATCAGTGACCCATATTGCTGGCTTGAAGATCCTGACAGTGAGCAGACAAAGGTAACCTTTCTTTGTACAGAAATGGCTGTTTCAATAAAAGATCTCTTTTGTAGGCTATGGGTATGTATTCTGTTTTTAGAAGACCTGCCAATAGATTTAAAAATCTTACCATTGTGAATGTAGGTGTAACGTAGTGATGCTTAAAGGTGCCAATGGATCAGTGCTGTTGTTTTGTACCTTTGTGTTAGGGTGGGTATAACAATTTGGAAAACTAAAGCCCTGTTTGTCTTGCGTTGATTTTCTTTGACAAGCCAATTTTCAAGGTTGCACTATAACACTGAAGGGGACCTCTCTGTTTTTAAGATTGCTTTGCCTACTGTCCTAAGTAGATCTAAAATTGCCATATTAATACAAGTCAGAACGGGTAGGAAGAAAGCTTTTCATTTACCTTTCCTTCTTCTTACAGTGACAAGTGTGTAAATCCATTTTGTGTGTTTTGAACTTTGTTCTCCTTAGGTTAGGCTTTGATAATGGCTTCTACTACAGATGTCACAGTATTTTCGGTGTGCGATCTAGTATAGCTAGACTCTGCTTCTGGAGCAGGTCTTTCACTGAGGGAGACCCTGAAAAATAATGAAGTGTGTCTGTGAGCGAGTTCCTCCGGTAGTCATGGCACAGGGAGTTGGAAGAGTAATGGCAAGAAAGTTGTAGATGGCAGTGGAGTGGAAGGGGATTGTTCCCTTAGAATGGCTAATACCTTTGTGACAACTGTAGCTAGAGAGCAACAGCTCTAGCTTCTACCTACTGACATGACTGTGTTGGAAAGAAGATGAAGGGCTAGTTTCTTTTAAAAATAATTGTGTAAGATATCTTTCTGTTAGTAAGATTCCTTTTAAATTCACTCATATTATGCTAAGCACCTATGATGTTTTGATGAGCTACAGGATTTTTAAATAGGATTTGCTGTAACAGTTAAGACTAAGATAAAAACATACACAATGTTCCATTCCCTACCTGTAAATGTGGATCTAGGATTTATAAATATCTGTATTTAAAAAGTTATTTGGGGACTGTATTGTAGAGAAAAATTAATCCATAGACATTGACAATGAAAATTATACATGTAGTAAGTTTGGAGTATTTGGTGTTTTGGTTCTGATATGCTTAAGATATGGTACATCACATTTAAAGGGATTTATTCATAGGGAGGTATGGTTATATCTTTGCTTTATAAGGGCCATGCAAGTATCCACCCACTCAGGTGGTTTTCAGAACCCTATGGAGGAGAGGTGGCACTGTGAAAATGCCGAGATGTCACTATTTGTGTCACTGCTTTTGCTACATGCTGTGAACAGACTGGGGAGAAAAACTTGAAGGCAGATCAATCTCTTACCGAGGTGGTATTTATGTAGAGACAAAAAAAGGAATGGGGAATTGCAGCATCCTTGTAAAAAATGAAGCCACCCAGGCATAAGATGTCATTGTGGTGGAACGAAAATTCTGTTACTTCATACTTACCTACAGTCCAAAAAACACACAACTTGGCAGTGCTGCAATAGAATGATGCCAAAAGTGGAAAGAGTTCCTTTGTGTCTGAGTACTCGAGTAGGAGGTCATCTTTTGCAATGTCTCAGGAGTTACTGAACAAAGACAGCGAGTTTTTTGCTTTCCTTCTTTCACAGAGGTCAGAAAAGAGTTGTGAAGCATTAAGCCTCTTTCATTTGCTCTATTACTCACTTTCTTGTGCTCTACAGCAGAGGTTGCTGACAGCTGCTCTTTCTTACTAGCTTTTTTAATGGTTTTATCTCTGTGTTCTTCAGATTGTTCTGCAGGAGTCCTGCAGAATAACCATTCTGTACTTACCGGATCAAACAATAACCAGACCCTGGTAAAGGAACAATTGGATGGCTGTACAGACTTCAGAGGGAATTTCAAGTGTGCTTTGTAGACTTTTCAAATCTTGAAGTCACTAGTCTTGAGACGTGCATCTTTTCTTACTCTTCCTCTGAGTCCTGTGTTCTCTTTATGCTCTATGTAACAATCTCACACTTCCATCTATTCTGGGAGAAGATCAGGTGTCCAATGCATACCCCCACCAATAAGCTAACTTTAATTTTCCACATTTTAAATACAGAAGAATTAACTTTGGCTTTTGTGCTCATCTGCAATGAAAGAACTCCCACTCCCAGTTCCTGTCACATCCAGGCAAATCAAGCGTGTTGTAAACAGGGAAAATTCTGGTTTAAGCTAAGAGTGAAGGCTGAACTTCATTTATAAAGTTAGGGATGTTTTCTCACTTGAGAACAGTCAAAAGTGTTCTGTATGTGCTGTTAAATAGCGAGACAATTATGTTGGATTTTGCCTTAGAGTTCTTGACTAAGCAGAAATAGTCAAGCATTGGAGTGGTGATGATTGGTGTTACTTTGTTTCCGTTGACATGAGTTGGTGAAACAGTTTAAATTTCTTGAAGCATGGAGTAAAAAGTGCAAGCAAATGATACCAGTTTCAACTATGGAATGTTCACGGTTCTAACTGATATGTGCTGTAGGTTTCATAGGATTGAGGTGGAAAGAAATTATGCCTGTAAAGAATCACAGTCGCTTGTGCTATGTCTAATCCAAATCATTTTTCTTTTTGTAATTGGCTTAGTCAGGTGTTTCTCTAGTGATGTTAGAGTGTAGGTGGTGCTGTACCTAATCCGCTGTATTTTGTACAATTCCATTAAATTGGTTGATTCTGTGCTTTCTCTGACCTCTCCCTCATTCTTACATTGACTGGAGTGTTTTTGTCCCTTTCTTGCATCAGCATAGCCATCACAAGGTGATTTTTCTGGGGATGAAGCCTTTAGGTAAATGAGTTTTGTAGTGAAACACATAATTCAGCTCACCCAAAGGCCACATGATATTTGGATCTAAGAATTAGATACTTTCTTTTCTAGCAGCACACAAGCTACTTTTAATTAGATGAAAGTCTGATAGCTCTAGAGATCTTTCAGTTAGGTTACCAGTGCATGTAGCTTCGATTAAGAAACAGATTATTAAAGTCTGCAGGTAGGTAGCCAGTACTGCTTCTTGTCATATGCACAGTCTCTGAGTTGATAAAGCCAACCCTCAAGTAACATGCTTCCATCTCTATGTATTAGTGTGCCTTTTTTTGTTGTTTGTTTTTGTTTTTGGCTTGTGTGTGCTTGGATGTAGTTATGCACAGTTGTAAACAACTAAAAATCTCTTCTGCAGACACTTAAGTAGAAGCCAAGCTCCTGATTAAAGAAGGAAGTTCTGGTCTTACCTGGGAGAAAAAACGCAGCGTGGGTTTCTGCTGGGTTTCTGCTGCTGTTATGTTCAACCATTGACTTTTAAGACAAACTGAGGAAGATTTTTTTTGTCTCATTTGAAATGTTCTGCTACTCTAGTAAAGTCTTCTGTTGATGACCAAAGTCACAATTGCAAAATCATGCTTCGTCTAGTGTCTTGGGTTTGGCTTGGCTGGACTTCTTTAACTTCTTGGCATGTTTTACACTTTGTGGGATGTAAGCTCTATTTTAGACTAGAAAAGTCTTTTGTTACTGTATATTAGTCAATTGTATACAATACCTTAGCTCACTAGAACAGCTCTGTAGACAGGAATGTGTAGCATATCTCAGACATCAGGGATGGAGAAGGGATAATAAAGTAGGGGTTGTGTAGCAGATAGCTTACTTTGATATTATGAACTGGTGTATGTATGGATTGAGATTAGAACTGAAACTCTCAAAACTAAGATTAAATGGGTTTGCAGTTATAACTCAACGCTTTTCATACACTTTTTGGATAACCTTGCAGTTAAACTTTGGGTTTTGCTTTAGTAAAGACCAAAGAAAGTGCTAAGGAGCAAGCCACCAGAAATTTCTTAGTTTAATTTTGGAACATTTAATACAAGGTACGTGCATTCTTGTAGGAGTTGGACCAAACTGTCTTTCACTGAGATACAGAGATTTTGGGGGGTAACTATTAAATGAACTGTAAATTCTTTATGGATTAATAACAAAGACTAATAATATTTTAAAAAACAATTTATATCCCAAGACTTACCCATGGAAAATATACTGTGAACGCCTTGTTTTCTTCTTGGATAGAAATAATCTTGTCAAGAGAATAGCATAGTAGCATGTAGCTGATGGGTTGTAACAAACCACAGTTAAAAAAAAAAAAAGTGTCATTTTTTTTTTTCATATGAAATTTAAATATACACTTCTTTTAAAATACCAGTTGACCTGGTCAATTGATTGTCAAAAACTTTAGCCTTGTGTAGCCTTGTCTCTGGCCTCACTACCACCTTTGCTTTTCAAAATTACCTTATTTTCTGCCACATGCAAGTGTATACCTTACTTTGACCCTTATTCTATTCTTTCTTCTGCTAACAAATTCTTTTGGGTCAAGGCTGCTATTAGTTTGTCAGGTGTAGATTTCAGCAGAGGAAGTATTTTCTCTGTAGGTTCATGAGAACATATGGACAATTGCTGTAGGTTCTGTACCCTTGGTTGGCACCTGTTTAACTCAGCACAGTCAACAGAATTGTCTGCTGTGAGAGTTCTATTGGTAACATCTGTTCCTGCACTTCACACAGGGCAATATTTCAAATATGTATTGCCTTATGGTTAAGAACAGATTCCAAATTGGACAGAATGTCTTTCAAAAATCTTTTAATTCCTACCTCCTTTTTTAGACAGTGATGATATTCCCTTTTCTAAGCAGTCTTTTCATCTTTGGTGCATACTAAGTGGTAAAAAATGTTTGAAATTTCTTTAAAAACAAAATTACTAATAACTCACTTGAGTGCAACAGTTAATTTGTAAGCATATTGTTGTGCAATGAACAGTTGAAAGGAAAAGCTTGTGTCTTCTCTCTGAGTGCCAGAGGTAAAAGCAGATGTGGTAAAAGTGTGACTGCACTTAAAACTGCACTCAGTTAAAAGTGAGTAACACATATAGTCTCAGTGTACTCTACAGCAGTGTTACTGTTTGGGTCACACTTAATAGAGGGAACAAGGATCTGTGCCAGTTTCTTTCTGCTGAATGCTACCACAGAGTACTTCTCCCTGTCTAGCATGTTGGTGTTTTTGTGTATGTGTGTGTATGCATATATATATTTTTTTTCCCCTCTGAAAATGTCACAACACTTTGAGTAGTTAGCCTTCATGGTATGTGCTGTGCTCTTAGAAATTTCTATATTTCTACTTAGAGGAAACAGATCAGATCAAAGTTATTCTTGGGTAGATTTAAGTTCTTTTTGTCTTCTAATAGAGCCTGGGAATGTTAGGACAGCAAGGTAGAGGCTACACCATGTTCTCATTGGAGCAATGTTTTGGCTTACCACTGGGATGTGCTGTGCTTCTGTGCAGGATCTTAAAGCTGCCTTTGTCAATTTATTCCTCAGGGGGAGAACAGAAATAAAAATCAGCCTTCCCCTGGCAATGGTTTCCCCTTTTTCATTCTTGGGGGATAATTTCCTGACAGAGTGTTGCCGCTCTCTCTGCATCATTCGTTTTCCACCCCATAAGATGCTGCTTTGCCAGCGAAACCGACCCTGATGCATGGAGTCTACTGTTGAGTAAAGGTCCATAAATCATTTTAGCCTTCTTTTGTGTCTTTCCCTTTTCAGTGCTATAGTTGTTTTTCTCTGTCATCCTTAAGTGGTGACTTGCATGTAGCCAGCACGTGAGTTCTTAACCTAAAGCATTTCTGCACTTAGCTGAGTGTTCTTAGAGCATTATTAATTTTGCACTTGTGTTTAAAACTTACCAGTTTCCGTATGCTCTGTTGGACGTGAACAAATATCTTCCAAATGGAGAGTGACCAGAATTAATGTACTTTCCCCCTTATCATGTAGCCTGACAAGTCTCTGAAAACAAAGCTTGGCAATGCAACTATTGGCCATGCACTACTGTGGCAGCAGGGTCCATTAACCTCTGTGCCTCATGGAGCCACTTCTCACTGTAAAATGCTATTAGTATAGGCAATTTTGTTTTATTCTTTCATCTTTTTCACCTGAAGAACTGATAGATGGCTAAACATTGACAGCAATTGGTAAATGCCTATTAAGTGCTTTGTCTAGCAGCTGTTTCTCCTGAAAGGCTGTGAAATACAGGCTGTGCATTATGGTTTGTGGCCCACCCACTCCCATAAGTCATGTACTACAGTGAAATGTAACTCAGATGTTACTATGCACTGATCCACCTGCTTTGTAACAGATTCAGGAGAGGGTAGAAACAATGACCTCATTCAAAGAAGCTGGGGAAGAAACCTGTGTTAAACAGGTGTCAAGAGTCCAGCATTTCAGCTCACCTCATTTCAATAACAGCTAGAGACTGGGTTGTGCATGGTACTGCAGCTGTCTTTGGAAAGCCTGGCTGTGATTTACAGCTACATGCACTGTGCCCTATCCTTTCTAGCCTATGCTCATGACAGAAGAGTCTGCATGTCTGTTTCCTAACAGCTGTGGTTCACAGCATGCTGCCTTAAGACATTAGGTATTAATTTTATGTTAATGCACTGTGCTGTAAGTAGGTCTGATGAAACACCAGCATAGCACCATTTTTTCCATCCATGTAATGGGAGTGGTGGCCTCTAACAAACAGCTGAAGTGGCAATAGTTTTGTCCACTGGAGTTAAGTGCTTGCATGTGTTTGGTGGAATGTTCTAAGGAAGCCAGACCCCTTAATGTTCTCTTCCCAGAGGTTACATATGTTTCTCTTTTGTAACTAAGAATTTATCTTTGGATAGAGGGAAAAATGTCTCATCTGTTCTTGTAAAGGACAATACATTGGGCTTTCCAAGAAATATTGACTGGGGCTAGTAATCCGAAGTGTTATGTTAATAGAATGAACAGATGGTGCACGTGACATTTTGTATCATCATCTAGTTTTTCACAGACCCTGAAATGATAGTCGTGTGTATGGGCAAAAGGGACTCTGTTCATTATCAGTTTCCTGATTTATCTGCATTTGTGGTGAAGTAAGAGAAGGTGATTTTTTTTTTTTTTTCCTACGTGTTTTCTGTAACTGATATTTGCTTAAATGGTAGCTGTAAACCTAAGAATTTCTTTTGAAGAAAGAGCTTTGGTGTGTTGTTTTGTTGTGTTTTGTTTTTAAAAGGGAGTGGCAGGAATCTGGCTTGTCTTTGGCCTGACTGCTGACTACCTTAATGTGTGTCCTGGAGAAAGATAATTCAAGGTATAGAATCTGTCTTATTAAGTGCTGCAACGTGTAATAATGCAGGTAAATATGTGAGATTGTTCAGGTGTAACTCTACACACCCTACATGGGGAGAAAAATATCTGTGATAATTAATAATTAATGTTTAATTAATAATTTAATTAATAATTAAGTAGTGTTTCCTGTAGGAAGTGCACATTTCTACTTGAACTAATATACTTTTTTTGGGGGGGGGGGATATTATTTTCTTTCAGGCATTTGTGGAGGCTCAGAACAAGCTTACAGTACCCTTTCTTGAGCAGTGCCCTGTCAGAGGACTATTCAAAGAACGAATGACTGAACTCTATGATTATCCTAAATACAGTTGCCACTTCAAGAAAGGAAAAAGGTACGTGAGGAATGTCTTCGTAGGTGGCATAGATGAATGTGGAGCAGGTCAAAAGCAAGTACAAGTTAGATAAATTATAGAATGTGGAGCAGGTCAAAAGCAAGTACAAGTTAGATAAATTATAAGCTATGCTTGCATTTATTTCTTTATTGTTGGGAACTAGGAAAGGCATGTGTTCAAGCTGGTATTTAAGATGTGGTTGCATGATGCAGAGCACAAGATGCTAGAGTGTCTGTGATTCCCAGTCATATTATCTTCTTGTGCATTTATCATCTTCTTAATAAGAACAGTGAATTTATTAAAACTAACTACAATGTAGGACAGCTGCTATAAAATAAAAACTCTGAGGAGTTTCTTTGAAGGTTTATCACTGCCAGTTAAAGACACTTCCTCCTTAAAAAAAAAAAAAAAAAAAAACACCACAAATCTGTCAGGTACATGTTCTAAATGTTTAATAAAACAAACCAAAATTAGTCTGTTCCAGTAATCTTAATTAATTTGATCTTTGTTAAATGAGCGCCTACTTATACCAGGCATGTTTTCACTGTAACGCACAGGGAAGAGCAAAAGATAGCTCAATTACCTTAAGACTTTTGCATTGGTATTGAGAGAGATCTGCAGCTCTTTAGTTACCTGTCCTGTGAGAGAGGGCATAGATTCTTGTTATTAATGGAGGGAAAGTATATTGTGTTGGTGCTTTGCTTTCAGTTTGTTTTTGCTATATTGTGGGGAGCTGATGTTGATTTGGCACTTACGTGACACAGCATGCCATCTCTTAAAGATGTTAAATTTAAGCCCAGAAGCAGTGAAGCTGCTGAAGGACAGTGCTGTATACAGGGAATTAAGCCCTGTTGAGCAAGTCAGGAAAAGCTTATAGTTATATGTGATGCTACTGCACATGTGTGCCAAATCTGATTCTGGAGCAGGCTTGGTCAGCAATTGCTCTGGATTCTCTAAGCTGTTCTTCCTGTGCAAAGCAAACATGTCTAGCTGTGGTTATTAATGCTCATAATATTTTATGTTGCAGAAGTGTTCATGGCATTGTTGAGTACAGTCTCCTCTAGAGATTAAAAAAAAAAATTCTTAATTTGTTGTAACTGACTGTCCTCCAGAAAGAGCAATTATGCCAGTAACTTAATGTGCTTCAATTTATGGCACTTTACTTTGATTTTAATAGGTGTTTTTTTAGTTTGAGTGTTACTCTATTGGCTTGTGCTGAGCTTAAATCATAGTGTTTAAAAATTGTACCCCTAAATTTCATATTCTGTTTTAAGAGATTATGGTGTTATACCAAGTTAATTAACACTTGCTGGGGGAGATGAGAGCCTGTTCCATTGGATGACATATATAAACTTTATATAAGCTATATAAACTTTAATGTAGACAGTTATGTGGAGCTTAGAACATTTTGCTTTGTTTGAAATGCACTGTGGTAATGCAGATTTTATTATTAAAAGATGTTTTAGATGCACTCTATATATAGTCTCCTTTATGTAATCTACATATCTTATTGGGCTGGAATTCCTTTTGTTTTCAGAGGCCTAGAAATTAGTGTCTGGGCCTCCTCTGTGTCAAAGTGGATCACCAACTCCCTTATGGTCACAGGGGAAGCCATGGTTCCTGTTCTACTGTGATGCTTGTATTTCCATATTTATCTGTCTTTTATTCACTCCATGACAATCTAACACAAGTTTTTCTTGCTAGTCTAATTGAAAAATCTGAGTTCTTCATAGTCATTTTGCCATCTTTTGTTCTTTTAGGTATTTTCACTTTTACAATACAGGACTACAGAACCAGAGGGTTTTATATGTACAAGACTCCTTGGATGCTGATGCCAAAGTTTTTCTAGATCCAAATAAGCTTTCTGATGATGGCACTGTGGCTTTACGAGGTTGGTGACACAGCAGTTACTCCTGAACAAGTCTGGGTCTTCAGTAGTTAGAAATAGTTTGTGACTCTTATTGTGTTTAAAAAACAACAAAGAAGTATGACCAGAGTGGCTTGTTAGCATCAAAGTAATCACAGTAGCCATATGTATTTTGTATAGTCTTTCAGAAGAGCACTTCTAAGTCTGTTATTTTCATAATTAAGTGGGTTTATTTTTTGTCATATCTTTTTCATAAATCTGGAATGTATTCCACTGAAATATGTATGGATCTTGAGGCTTTCTGTAGCTAGGAAAAAAAATTTGTGAACTTCTATAAACTAATTATCTTAAAATTTTAGTTTGCGTTCTTAATACAAGCCTGCAAGTTAAGGTAAGAGAGAATGAAGTATCATAGTGTTAACTTCTGTGAGAATCACAAGATGACTTGTTTGCTTCAGTGATAACTCATGTTAGCTGTCCATTTTCCCACTCCTTGTTGGCTTATTGCAGAAGCAGGGCTCTTAAATCTAGAAGCTTTCGAAGTCTTTGCAAGACCAATTGATGAAAACTACACAAAGGACAGAATAAGAAGACACTTTGAGTATAATCTAGTCAAAAAGAATCAATATGGCTTTTTCACAGAGAAGTCCTGCCTTTAAAGTGTGGATATCAGATCAGGTTCATGCTGCATTTCTGCAAAACTTATAACAAAGTCTCTTTCTAAACGCAACTAGAGAAAAGACAGCCATGGAAAAAGAGGTGAAAATCCTGGCATTGATTTTAAAATAAATAAATAATGTAAAGACAGGGACAGGAATAACTGTCTAGCTCTCAAAGTAGAAATCACCAATGCGGCTCTCCCAGGAACTGTGAAAGGACATGGGCTGTTCTATATATTCTCATGTAGCTAGAAAAAGGAGTGAGCAGGGAGGTGGCAAAGTAGATTGATAATATGGAGTTATCCCATGTAAAGACTGAAAAATGACTGAAAAGATGCAGGAAGTAGATAAGTTCATGATACACAGAGGATAAAGAACCTTGGCCTCATTTGGAAAGAAATAGATGAGATTCTGAGCTGACCATGACTACTTCAGAAGAATTCTTGGTTTCTAAAAGATAATTCCATGATACTGTTACCCTGGTTCCTTGTAGCAGCCAAAATAAAGACACTGAATGTCAGAAATAGTTAAGAAAGAAATGGAGACGAGAACAGAAAACATCATTATATTTGCAACCCAGGGGTTTATGTGGTAGTGTTTGAAAATTAAATACAGTGCCAGCCTGGTCAGCTCCCAAATGGGGCTCTAAATTATAGTTCAGAGAAGGGCAACTGGAACAATCAAAGGTTTGGAACAGAGGTTAGAAACAATTGAATGTGCCCAGATCAATCGATCTGGAAAAGAGATAACAAGGATCTGATAGCAGTCTACAAAATCCTGCACGGCAGTAAGTATGATGGAGAGAGTGCAAAAGGCTTGGATATTCATGATTTTTTCTGTTCTAAGAATGAGAGGATATCAAATGAGGGCAGTGGGAGCTGAGTCCAAAGCAAAGAAAGTGTTTGTTTATCTTGGAAGTAGTAGATTTGATTAACAATGACAGTTGATGTTGATATAGGGAGCTTACTGTGGGTTTGAAGGGAAGGTAGAGAAGGTCAAGGGAAGGCACGCATTGATGATGATTAACAAGCTGCTTCGTGGAAAAGAGGTGTCCTAAAAATGGTCAGAAGCTGGAAGAATACTTTCAGGAAATAGGTGTGCTGGTGTTGCTCTTGCTCTTGCAGGCATCTTCTTGTTACTTCTGAAGAAACCTATATGGATTCTGTTCTGAATCAGAATGACCACCCTTGTTCTTAGGGGGGAAGAATATGTTGAGGTGCATGAGTGGTGTGTCTCAAACCTGAAATTCCTATTAAGTGCATTTTTTTTTTTCAGTAGTTACTTTCAGGTCTTGATAGGCTTATGATAATTCAGTCTCTTCAGTTGAGTTGATTTCCAGAAGTGAATTTGATCCTTGTTGGCTGTGATGGAAAATCTTCTGAATTTTTTTCAGAATCATATTTTCCTCAAAATTTGGATAGATCTGCATATATCTCAGAAGTCTTAGCTGGCATTATGGTAATGAATCCATTTGTTTTGTAGTGGGGAATTCAGTTTTGATGGTTATGCACGGTCTAGTTTTCACTGATTGCAGTATTGAAGCAGTAATGCATCTGCAGTGCATTTGCAGTCTCCATCCTTACCACCAACTTCAGCGAAGAAGAATAACTACTGCTCAAATTGTATATTACATGCGGAGTACTAGTGATGTGACTAAACATGCTTTCTGAGTACACATGACTAAATGTGAATTTGCAATCTATTTGAGAGGCCCAAGATAAGAAAACTACTGCAAATCCCAAATTATAGTTGGTGTAGTTGCTTGTATTATCTTTAGAAAATAAATCCTCTTGGTGTTCGGTGAGCACAGTCCTTTTAACTGCTTTCAGTTATACCTCTCTTTTGTTGAGATTTGACTAGTGTATAGTGAATAGTAAAAAGCCATGTGGGAAAATAGCAACCACTTTTTTGAAAACTCTGATTCCTTGCTCTGGTTCTTACTGCATCTTGTTTGTTTCTGATTTTCTAGGTTATGCATTCAGTGAAGATGGTGAATACTTTGCATATGGCCTGAGTTCTAGTGGTTCTGATTGGGTTACTATCAAGTTTATGAAAGTGGAAGGTCCTGAGGAACTTCCAGATACACTCGAAAGAGTTAAATTCAGTTGCATGGCATGGACCCATGATGGAAAAGGCATGTTCTATAACTGCTATCCAAAACAAGATGGGAAAAGTGATGGTAAGTATGGCTGTACCAGTTGCATGCTATTTGGAAACAAAGTAACTTTTTCAATTAATTTGTGCAACAAATAGTTAATACTAGTTTATACAGTTAGATATCAGATTGTCTTATATGGCCAAAACCTGTATTCAATTAGTGCCCTTTGCTTAAAAGTTTACTGGCCCTTTTATTTTTTTCTCATACAATCTGTGGTTGACTGAAATTTATGTCTGGAGACAGTTTACTCTAGATCTCTGCCTTGTTATGCATTTTTTTTCTGGGCGTAGGTGAACTGACTTAGGAGGTTGACTTGATGAAGAGTAACCTGAGTTACAAGGTTTTTGTTACTCAACCAGATCCATTCATCTGTGGTTCACTGCACAGCAAACCTGAACATTTATGCTAGCAAAACTTAAAGTAGTACAGAAAGCAGAGTAAATTGTTGGAGAGTGTCAATATAGAAGAAATTTAGGAGCTTTCTCTTAATGTAAGGGAATGCTACTATTATATTTCTTCTGAACCTGTGCCCTTTGTGAAACCTTGAAGAGAGCTGAAATTCTGTCTCTATTTAAATTTGTAGCATGTAGTTTTGCCAAACTTGTAATTTAGACACTCACCATGTGTTGTGTTTACTTTTAAACATATTTGTAGTTCAGAATCTGAAGTATTGCACTGGAAAATGTTGCAAGAAAAAAAAAGGAAAAATCAAGTAGCACATCGTGCTGCACCTTATAATGCTTCATTTTATTTTCAGCAGATGAAAATACAACAGTTCCTAAAAACAGCAATTAGCAGTAGATCTCCTCTTAATTCCCCAATGTAAGATAGAAGCAGAAGCATCTTTAAAGGGTGGCAGAGATTGTTGCTTTTCTTTGATTGTTTAGTATTTAAAGAAAGTGTAGTTTGAAGTGATAAACTTTTACTGCAGGCAATACTTTCTTCAAACGTGAAAGGCTAACTGTTTGAACAAGGCGGCCACATGATTTGAAGATGCAGTGTATAGTGGAGAACTTTGTTTGGAGGGGAATGGTTGTACACTTCAATTATTCCTAGTTCTCTCTGCTGAATGGCTCTCTTCTTTTATATGCAGAAAGATATAGAGGTTTCTGAAGGTTTTGTGTGGGCGTTGGATTTCTTTGAGAACTAATTGTTTAATTATCTGCATTTCACTAGGTACTGAGACCTCCACTAATCTGCACCAAAAGCTGTATTATCATGTATTAGGAACTAACCAGTCAGAAGATATCCTGTGTGCTGAATTTCCCCATGAACCAAAATGGATGGGTGGAGCTGAGGTATGGTGAGCATGCTGAAGCTTAACATTATCTTTAAAAAAAAGTTTTTTATTAGTTTAGATACTGGGAGGAAATTCTTTACTCAAAGGGTGGGTGAGGCACTAGAACAGGTTGCTTAGAAAAGGTATGGATGCCCCATCCCTAGAGGCATTCAAGGCCAGGTTGGATGAGGCCCTAGGCAGCCTGATTTAGTGGCTGACAACCCTGCCCAGCAGGGAATTGGAACTGGATGGGTTCTAAGATCTCTTCTCAATCTAAGCCGTTCTGTGAATCTGTTAGAGTTGCAGAGCTTAGCACTGAACCAAAATTTATTGACTTGGAATCATTGACTAAGAATTGCTGAAAGTGAGACTGGTCTGCTTTAAATCAGTCCTTGAGTCTGTAATGAGACAGTCACGCAGCATTTTTCCTTCTTCAAGGACATTGTCTCATGTAAATTTTGGGTTAAAAGAGGATCACTTGGTGGAAAATTTATCATTGTTCTGTTTGCTTCTTGTCAGTGAACATCAGCCTTCATTTCTTACACAAAGTCTATTTCAAGAAACATATTGTCTGAGTATTCCCCACATTTATTTTCTTTTTATTTGCTTTCATAGCCTCTTTCCTAAAAAGGAAATTCTCTTCTACTTGAAGAATGATGACAAACAGGAGTTCTGTTAATAATGTATGCACAGTTTATAGTTCATATCTTTCCAGCTGCAGCTGTAAAATGTGGCTCTGGCACCCTGATATTAATGGAAGATGGTTCTTAATGGTCAGGAAAAGACAAATATTCTGCAATTGTATACCATTGTGATTGTAAAATGTGGTTTTATCTTTGTGAAATAGGTCAAAAATCTCCTTTTTGAATCATCCAAACAAATTTTCTGGTCAATTTTTTTTTTTTTTTTTAAAGCATGCATCTGAGAAAGGAAAAGACCACAAAATAGTTGGGAAGAATTAAAATAGCTTTAGTAAAAATCAAGTTATGTGACATATAGATGCCACCCTAAATATTCTTATCTGATACTATCACTCTGCCAGAGATTTTAAAATCTAGCACAGCTCAGTATTTTATGAAAGTCTGCTTACTTACATTCTTGTAAGATAAATAAAGAAGCATTTTTATTTTACACTGCCTAGCTAGCCCAAACAGATAGAAATAGATTCTCTCCTGTTTTACTCAAGTTCCAGTGGAGTCAGTCAGATGATGCTATCGATGGTCTACATTCAAATATCAAACCTTGCATTGTAGTGGAATCAGATCTTGAAGTTCCAAATCAGATATTGCAGGTTTTTGCAGCCGTTGGGTAGAGGAAGGAAAATACCTGACTTGTCCATGTCAGGCACTTTTCACTTGCATCTTTCTCAGAGAAAGTTATAATAATGCCATTATACTTTAAAAAATAAGTAGAGTGTTGCTGTGATGTATATTTAAATGGAAAAATGAATTTGGGTCTCCAATTAGGACAGAAGAGGGTTGAGTAAAATTTTGTAAGCTTGTTACATCTATGAAACAACATGCAAGAAAATAGGTTCAGTTTAAGTAGTTGACACTACTTGTTCACACCAGCACTAAGTATGCTTGATTTAAACAAAATGTGTAATGCATAAAATTGAGTTGACATAGAAATGTAGATGCGTTTCCAGCTTCTCACTGGAATGGATTGCCTGTGAGGGGGGGAAAGAAAATATGTTTATTGCAAGTCAAACTTCAAATTTATAGCCAGATCAGTTTTGAAGAGGATGGTATCTAAGCTCTTCATTAGTGTAGAAAATGCGTATGTTTTTCTGGTGCAGATTCTAGGATAGTGAGGGATTTGGAGGAAGCAGGGATGGGGATTGAGTGAATTTCCAGTAGATGGCAGTATAGGATGATTATTGTTTTTTGGGTTTTTTTTTCCAAACTTTTGCACTGTTACAGATTATCTTTGAAACAGGAGCTTCCCAGGCTTCTGCCTCTCTGTTAGTGGTATGTTCTTGCTTCCTTTCCAGGCTCATATAGTATAACTGTCTTTCACAGACACACTGTTATTCTCAAAGTTAGTCAGTAAATTATGTGAGAGTCTTTCACGTTTGATAGTGTTCGAAGTCCCTACTGCACAGACAGGAATGAAAAGAGGGCAATGGGGGAACCCTCCTGTCCCAATTCTGCCAACAATGAAGCAAGTACAATTTTTTGTGTTTTTTTTTTTTGTCACACTGTGCACAGTCCATAACCTGACCAAAAAAAAAAGTATTTTTTAAGCGTTTAGAACTGTCAGTTTACATCAGTAGTTCCCAGCAAGGAAGGTGAACTTGCAGATGAAATTCGGAGTGCAGAGGAATAAGCTTTGCTGGATATGTGCTGGCTGTGGTGTGTTTCCACTACAAGATCATGAAAGTCCAGCATCCACAGGGGAAGAATGAACAGTAGGGGCTCAGAGCATCCAGTTTGCTTAAGTAAAACTGCCAGGTGGTCTTTCTGGCTGCGTGGGGGTCTGTGGTAGGTGTAATGTCTTATAGACATTGTATCACAGAATCATTAAGGTTGGAGTTGATCTCTACGGTCACCTAGTCCATCCTTCCCCAATGCCCATGGAGCCATGTCCCTCAGTGCTAAATCTCCATGGTTCTTGAATACCTCCAAGGAGGGTGACTGCCACCGCCCTGGGCAGTCTGTGCCAATGCTTGACTGCTCTTTCTAAGAAGAAATTCTTCCTAATGTCCAAATGGCTTTGAAGGGAATTGGATCTAACCTAGACTTTGGAACCTCCTGAATTTATTCTGGTGTCATATGTTTGCATGCGTGTGACTTTCATTGCACTTGAAAACAAGCTGAAGACCACAGGAAAAAAAAAGTAATACATTAGTTTGTCACCTCAGAAGGCTACAAATTTTACTCTGTACTAGAACTAAGGAGGATGCATGTAAATACCCATGTGCATATTGTTGTGTTCCACTTGGGAACAAGGCTGTCTCATGTAGGAAATTAAGGGAATAGTGAAACTGAGTTAATGCCCAAAGCAATTTTTCTAAGCTGAAAAATGAAAAGGGAGAGCATATTAGCTTGTTGTTTACATACAATAAGACCATGATATCCTTAGAGTATATCAAGCCTGCTTCTCAGTATAGAAAGGTTTCTAATGGACCTGATCCAGAAATCCCGCATTCCTGTAGTCACCCACTGTTAGGTCTTCTAATTTAAAAAAATCTAATTTATTAAACCAGCGTGACACAAATAGGTAACAAAATAAGTATTTGTAGCATTCTTCAGGGGATTCTCATCTTCTCAAGAACATAAAATACTGTGGGAACTATCATAGACTCGTAGAATGGCTTTGGTTGGAAGGGACCTCAAAGATCATGAAGCTGCAACCCCCCGTCTCAGGCAGGGCCACCAACCTCCCCATTTAATACTAGACCAGGCTGCCCAGGGCCCCATCCAATCTGGCCTTGAAAATCTCCAGGGACGGGGCACCCACAACTTCTTTAGGCAGCCTGTTCCAGCACCTCACCACTCTCTGTAAAGAACTTCCCCCTGACATCCAACCTAAATCTTCCCTCCTTCAACTTAAAACCATTTCCTCTTGTCCTGCTGTTATCTACCCTTGTAAAGCGTTGACTCCCCTCCTGTTTGTAGGCTCCCTTTAGGTACTGGAAGACTTATTCTTTTTTCCAGGCTGAGCAAGCCCAGCTCCCTCAGCCTGTCTTCATAGGGGAGGTCCGTAAGCCCTCTGATCATCTTTGTGGCTCTCCTCTGGACCTTTCTAATAGCTCCCTGTCTTTCTTGTATTGGAAGCCCCAGACCTGGACACAGTACTCCAGATAAGGCCTCCCGAGGGCAGCGTAGAGAGGGACAGTCGCCTCCCTGTCCCCCTTTGCTGATGGAACCCAGGATACCATTTTCTTTCCGAGCTGCAAGAGCACACTGCTGGCTCACGTTAAGTTTTTCATCCACCAGGACCTCCTGGTCCTTCTCTGCAGGGCTACTCTCAAGGACTGCTCCTCCCAGTCTGTGTACATGCCTGGGATTCCTCCAGCCCAAGTGCAAAACCTTGCACTTTGCTGGAACTATATGCTAGTTTGAGTGACTTTAAAACATACAAGCGAAAACTTTAAGAATGCTTTACCTAATTTCCTCTTGTAGGAAAGGAAGGAGCTTTGTTTTTTCAAACAATAAGTTAATAAAAGCAGAATTTGAATGGCTGGAAGATTACAGTGGGGATTCTTGACTGTCATCATGCAGGCAGAACTTTGTGGCACATCTTTGACACTGGAACACTTGAGGCTGTTTAGACAAAATTGCTCTGATTTCTTATTGACCAAGTGTTTTGACAGATTTCACTGGATGTTTTTACATCTCCTTCTGCAGAAGGCTTGTGGTTTTTGTTGTTGTTTGATTTTTTTTTTTTTGTGCCTGGATTTTAATTTACTTATCAGTTAGGAAGATTTGAAGTATTTGTAAGTGATGAAAGGCAGGTAATTTCTATATCAGTCTGAAGTGTCTTTTGCATGTAGATTCTTCAGGTTCAAGTTTGGTGAAATCATGCCCAACGTTTTTGCAGCATGTATGTAAAGATTTGGAAATAACAGCTGTCATCTGTCTGTATTATACTGATGGCTTCCTACATTTGTAAATGAATACTTATGGGAGGAAATAAAGTTTTTACGCCATCGCTCCTCATGGTTTCAAACTGTTGTATGCATAGCATGTAATGAAAACTGTAGTATTAAAGTGTAGCTTACCAATGCTATGAGTTTTTAATTTCTAGCTATTGTCACAGACAGTATTGCTTTATCTTTACTGCCACCCATCTTGCTTTCCCTGAAAGGTTTGTTGTTCCTATGTCTGAGCGCATAGAATGCAGTTCTTACTTTGACAATTTGGCTCTATTGTTTACTTTGTTTTATTAGAAATGTGTTAGTAATGGCAGTTAACCTTGTTCCATATACAGAGGACACTGGTTTTTGAAGTAAAGCAGTAGTTCACAAAGGTAACATAGATGCAGGTCAGGATGCGGGCTGTAATGGTGTTAATATCTGCAGTTAAAGAAGAGAGGTCAGTTTATTTTATTCTGGATGTAGGCATATTATTGTATGATTTTTACTTCATTTTTTTTAATAATGCAGAAGCAAATTATGCAATGATTAGGAGTTTTTCTACCTTGATAACAGAGGAAAAAGTGATAAAACTTGTGGTTGTTTAGTTTAAAATGGTAAAGAACATATAGTTGCCATAATAATAGCCATTCAAAGGACCTGTGTTTGTGAAGTAAAAATAGAGAGCTATTCCCTGTTCTAAATCTTTCAGTGGTAACTATCCAGGTAGTACTCAAATAACTAGAATTAATTTTCACAGGAGTTGCTGTCAAGCCACTTTACTTGGAAGAAAAGCATTTTAATGTCTTTCCTATTGACTTTTTAGTTGAGGGGTAATACATAAAGCCAGGAAGTCAGAAAACCTTGCAGCCTTCTCCTGTTTGTTCTTTTTTGTTTGCTTGTTTAATTATGTATGAATTTTAGATCTGGAGCAGTTTTCTATGAGACAAAATATTTAACTTAACTTTTGCTGTGGATCCTCATAGATTGTTACTGCTATTGTAAATAGCAGAAGATAGGACTACTTGGGGTTCCTTAAATAACTTGCAGAATGAATTACATTTTTCTTTCTTTTACAAAATATGGTTATGTAGTTGCAAAGCTCTTTTTATGTGCATGCATTTCTTGGACTTTAAATAAATGTTAATATCTATTAACTTACCTAAGCCACAAGAAAACTGCTTTCTCCCTGAGTATTTTTCTAAGGAGTGGTTACCTTTCCTGGAAGTTGACAGAACAGGCAATAGGAAACAAAACTGCTATTGAAAACAAAAAATGCTCCCCTATAAAGTCTTTCTAGAAGAAGCTTGGTTTATAAGGTGTAATCCATGAAACAAATAAAGCACTGCTGGTGAGTAAAGCTATTGCAGTGATATTTCTTTGTACACTGTAGAGATGGTCACTGAAAATGGTGCTGAAATAATGAATTCAAAATTGCCATATGCCACAGTGGCTGCAAAACTACAAACTATGTACTTACACTGTGTCTTTGAAATAAAACTTCCTTTACCAGTGCTGTGTTAAGGATTGTTGCTGCGTTACTCCAGTAAAACTCTTCATTGTTAACTTGAAGTTTTGAAAAGCACTGAGTGGATTCAAGAGTCAACTCCAGTTGAAAGGCTATAGGACTACTTCTGTCTTATTTTAACTGGAACTAAGTGTCAGATTAAGATGTTTAATTGCTTTATAACTTCCTTACCTTTTATCAGTGCATGTTGTCTGAAATAATAGAAATCATATCAATGAGAGAAAATGCAAACTGACTAGTGTTCCAAATCTCTCTTAGAAATTCTCAGTGTGTTTCTTTCCATCTAGGATGAAGGGAAACACAAATTTACTTCTGAGTCAGACTGTCAGCTCTGACATTACAGCTGTCTTTTTTTTAATATTGAACTATGAATGCATTCTGAGACTTGAGTGAAGTGCTGGTATGACATTTCAATTCATAAGTTTGTGGGCCAAGAGCAAGGGTGCAGTTTACCTTATTAAGATGTATCTATTTAAGGATAGCCCAAATGTTCTTGGGAAATCCTATTTCCTTTTGCCATTTGGATAACTAGTCTGTTTACAGCATAGAAAAGCTGGGGCATAGCAGCTGAGCTGCCTTCAAAGCAATCTCTGCCTCTATTACTCATATTTCCAGTTGCTCAGTACAGTATCTTAACTCAGCCATTTGTGCAGCTGCCCAGTGAATTGAGATACTGGTCTGGCAAAGGAGGCTTTCTCTATATATTTCGTTCCCTCTCTCTTTTTTTTTCTTCTCGTCCAAGTTTTTCTTTTTCTGCATGGAGCAGTGGGGGCTTGTTTTTGAGCATGTTATTTTTTTCATCTGGATCAGTAATTCAGTGTGATTTGCCACACAGATAATAAATGCCTGCCCTAACCTGTATGGTTAGGGGAAAGAACTTGCATGTATACAAGTAACCCTAGCAGAAAGAAGAGCTAGAGGGGGAGATGACATACCCTGGTGCTGCTGCCAAAATTTGTTCATCAAACTGTAACTTTGCAGTGTAGATTTCTAAATCTGCAATATAGTACTAAACATTTTAGCATGCAGCAGTCAACAGTGTCTCGTCCTGTTTTTATCATATTCCTTTGGGTTATAGAACTCACTGATGTAAAAACAGCTTCAGCGATAGAGGCAAACATAATTGGCATCCCACCACGAATGTGATTTGGGAGTTCCTACTTCAAATTAAACATAAACTGCTATCAACTCTTCACTCACTCAGCTGGGAACATGGAAGGAAAAACTGATTAGATGTGCTCAAATTTGCTGTCATGAGAGGTTCCGAATTGCCCTTGCTATGACAGCACATGAGAAAATGGCAAATAAGTTTTCTGTCTTGTGTGAAGTGAGCGGTTTTCAGTTAGCTCTTAATTCATAGCATCAAAGAACAAATCTGTGTGGGTTCTGGCTATGACTGAAAGACTTGCTTGTGTCTTACTACTGACTTCTACTGCAATGTGTATTTGTGTATTCCACTTGCCAGTAGCGTATTTCTTGAATTAGTGAGGAAGAGAAAGAAACGTTGAGCTCGTACAGGTATGAACAGTTATTTAACCAACATATTGCAGTGGTTTAGTTTAATTAAAACTGACACTTTCAGTGGATCTCTAAAAGAGATCACCTAGCCTTGATTTCCGTTCCTGAGCATAATCCACCTGGGAAGGAGGTGGTAAAATGTCTCAGTATTGCCTACTGTAGGAATCTTGGGTGTTCTTTGCTGTTCATCTAGTAAGCTTGCAGATGTATGGCCTTTCTTTAGTGGCATAATTCCTGGTTGATAAAAAAATACTTATAAAAAATGTAACTTGGAAATGCTTGTTTGTTGGTTTTATTTTTTTTTTTAGTTAGTTTCCACATACTGAGATTAGGTGCTGTATTCTACAGTGTTTCTTTGTGCCTTCAAAACCATGGATCTGCTTGAATAACTGTATAGCTACAGGCTAATATTCCTGAAATTTATTTTGCTAACTAATTCTAAGAAAACTTTGCACAACTAATGTTATGAATGTTAACTGAAATAAGCCTATGCAGTGACTACGGTTGCTGAATAAGGACTTTTTGAAGATGTTTAGTGCCAAATGGAGAGTTTTCAGAGTTCAGTTTCATGTTTTGTAACTACAGGTTTAAATTTCCATTAGATATTTTTGTGTAAGAATGTAGACAGTCTTCTACATTAGATGTTAATAAAACATGTAAATCTGGTAATATTGGAATAAGCTCAAAAGAACTTAGTAAGAAAAGGGAAACTTGAAATTGATGACTTCCTGTTATATTATGCCTTCCTTTGCGGACTTGCACTTTCAAAAGCTTTGCAAGGAAGCAAGTTATGTTTGCAAAAACTGAGCAGAAGAAAAAGGCTTAAATGGCAACTTTGTGTACCAACAGACACAACTTTGGAGATTTTATCTTGTGTTTCTGTAATGGCAGAACAAAAAGCTTCATCTGAAAATTTAGAATGTGTTTGTATCTTATAATGTTCATTTAGCAGCACTAGATTTATATGTAAACCTTATGAAAATGATAAAAACAATTATTTTTTAAGTGACTGGGAGGAGAGCAGCCAGTCTCTTTGCAACTCTGAGGGAGAGACTTTTAGAGCTACCTTTGGAAGTTCATTGCAATTAGGCAAAATATGAATCCAAAGCTATCTTTTATCATCTTGTTAAATCCTTCTCTTGTGTGTGCTGCTGTAAAGGACAGTAGGGCAGTGCTTGGCTTCTTATATTAAAAATAAATTGACATAGCATATATGTTTGCCTTATGCAGAGACTCTTTTAGATCAAATATGTTTAATAATAAACAACTTTTTTTTAGTCAAAGATGGGAATCAATAGATACAGCTGTTTTGTTTTAATCAACTTAAATTTTTATACTTCTGTTATTTGCGGATATAAGCGGTGAGTGAGGATTCTTGGTCAGTTCTCATACATCTGTTCATTTAATTAATTGTAGCATTGACTAATTTTTTACTAGAGTTTTAGGGATTTTCAACTTGGCCTTTTCAACTTGGATTTTTTATTTTATTTTCTCCTTAATTTATAGATATCTGATGATGGTCGATATGTCTTGCTGTCCATTCGAGAAGGGTGTGATCCAGTGAACAGACTGTGGTACTGTGATCTCCAGGCAGAGTCTCAGGGTATATCAGGTATGTGTTTTCTTGCTTTGTAGATTTTTCTTCATTTTTCTTTCATTTCATTCTTTCATGTAAAATTTGAAATATATTTGCATGTAAATATTTATGTATTACCTAACATCATATTTTTCTGATACAGAGAATGAGAAAATACACACTTCTAGAACTCGGTTTTCTTTGTTATGTTTCATTCGAAAAAAACATTCTTAGTTTTGTAGTTTAAAAAGTCCCAAGGAAAAATTGAGATAATATAGACACTGTTAGCAGTGTATGTTCCATTTTTTCTACTCCACTAATATTTTCCAATGCTTAATTTTTTTCACATTTCACAAGTGCATGTCTCTCTTCAGTCATTAATCTCCTTTTTTTTTTTAAGAAAACAAAGCAACCTGAGTCTCCAACTTCTATGTAACATTTTCGCTGTATAGTGAAATGAAAATAAGCCCTTTAATGTATTAGTAATAAAACTTGGCTCTGTAGTGTTGTTATTCTTAGTAGATACTTCTACTGTAAGATTTTAAACAAACATTTATAAACTGTTGCCTATTTGTCTTCTAGTTGGATTACCTTCTGTCTTTTGTGTATTTGCCATGCTAGCCTCAATATTATGGGCAAAACACTTGGTACTTTGATTCACCATAGTATGACCATTTTAATGATCAGAAGCTTTTGTGTTGCCAGAATACTGGCATTGTTGAAATCTCTTCCTAGATACATGCTTTACTCTGTACACAACAACTTAATTCTTTGACTCTTCGCTGCTTCTATTTTCAAAAAACTTCAGGGGTAATGAATACTGCAGCAGCTCCTCACTGAATATGGGATTTAAGCAACTTGTTCTCTTGCCTGTAAACAGAATATTCAAGGCTTATGAGAGTGATTAGAACTGGTAGCAGCTCTGTAGTGGAGGGGGAGAGGGGAATGTATTTTTGTTTCTCTCTGTCAGTGCCTTTATTATACTTATTGGTTGCATAGTCTTCCCTTAATTAGTTGAACAAGTCTTAGTACAGGAGATTGAATTTTGGTGAGTTAAGTGTTAAAGATGATAGTTCATACTTCGAAACTTCTTCCCATGGAGAATATTGATTTTTATTTCGTGTTCATGTTATTCTGCCCTTTTATAAATGATATTTCTTAATTACTTTTAAACTTGTCTTAGACAAGTTGTATTAGACAAAACTGCTAAGTTATTTAATGCCCTCTTGAATGTAGAAGATGGCAGGTCTAATGACAATCGTTACAGATACTTTCTGTGGAAGTCTATTACAGACATTAAACTGTGTAGATAAAACTGTTTAGTATAGTGATGCATTTTCGTAAATGATAAATTGGATTGTCATTCAAGATGACACTTTCTAGCTAGAGGCAGATTGAATTAAAAAGAGTAGCTCTCCTCCCATATTTACCTTCCCATTTATAGATACGTTGAACAACCTTGATAAGAAAACTAGCATGAAGCCTTGACAGACCATGGATAAGATAATGAAGCTTCTATTTTATACTGCCTGGTATTAGGTAAAAGTACAGTTTAACCTTTTTTCAGGTTTGAAAATGCTGCTTTACAAAAAAATATTTCCTTCAGACCAGTGTTTGACTTGCCTTCTTGTTTGTTTGTGGGTGGAAATTCTTTTACCTCTCTAAATTCTCTATTTCCCTTTATAAAAGGAAGGATGTAGGTATAGCAGTTTGCTTGCACAAATTTTGTTTTATAACCTCATGTACCTTTGTTATCTAAGTTGCCAAACACATTTTCAGTATGAAGACTTATCTTTACCCATGTCTTTCTGCCTTCATGTTAGTAAGCACAGATTTAACAGTAGACATGAGATGTTTCCTAGAGATTATTCTCCAGTCACATGTAAGCACCCTGAATCACTGATCCTCTAGCCTTTGGCCAGAAATGGTAAATTTGAGCAAGCATCAAATGTGTAAGCTTAGTTTTTTGACTAGCAACTTAGACCACAAGAAGTGTAATTCCAGTTCAGTTTGTAATTTTCTGGGTCAGCAAATGTAGAAGTAATTATTTGTGAAGTTCAGAGAAACTAATACCAGATTTCATTAAGGTGATTTAGATAATAAATGAGCAGCTCTAGAATATGCCTGAAATTGAGTTTAATGACAATTCTGTTTCTTGATTTAAGACTTGCATTTAACTGCAAATTAGGAGAGGCTGTTCAATAATATTCTAAGGGATGTTAAGATGGGTTAAGTTGGAGAGAATTATGTATAATGGAAGCACGTTCTTACAAAACCAAAGAATATAAAAATACTGGCCTTCCTTACACACACACACACACACTCATAATGTGTAACAGTATAAGTAGTGAAGTAGTGAATCGTGCTACCAATTACGAGGACTCAAGAGAATTAGGTCTTGAGTATCTGTGCTTTTTGAAGCATGTTACATTATTCTTCTATCTTTTAGCTTTTAGAACATGTTTTATTTATAATGAGAAAAATTTGTACTTTTGGTTAAGTCTAAGGGATTTCTTACCATTTTCTTTCCTCAGAATTATTGACTATTTAGTCTGAGCCTTTTTTCTTGACCTGTTTACAATGACCTGTTTATTCAAAAATCTGTGGTACCATTCAGAATATCATCTTTCTTTCAAAAAAAATATTTATATATGCATATAAATAAGAAGAAAAGGAAAAAAAGTAGGACAGTATTTTTTCGGTGTCCTAGATGGTACTTGAAATAAATAATCAGTTTTTCAGACTTTTGTTTTTCTTCCCTAATACAAGTTATCCAATAATGCAGTCATTCTTTAAAGGTTTTTAAGTTTTTCAAGTTTTACAGTTCTTTAAACTTAGTTGGGGAGCATTGAACAAAAAAAGCAATGAATCTTTTTCAGAAGATATGAGGTATGCCCTCCCTAGTTTGTTTGTTTTTGTTTTGGAAGGAGTGGGAGAAGAAAAAGCAACTGCTAATCATGACACGTTTCAAATGGTTGGTTTTTAAAGTTGCTCTATAGCATATCTTTATAAATATCATTTCCTTATATCACAATGAATTTGTTTTTTTAAAATACTCTTTCCCATAGTCAGTGTGCCACTGCAGTTGAAATGTCCACACGTGAAGTGAATTAATGTTGCTTTGACAGAATTGCACAAAAATGCAGAGAAGTGATTCTGATCCATGATTTATTACCCAAAAAGCCTATTTCAAAATGTCGTGTTAACTAACTTAGTCTACCTTTCTTGATTTTGATTGCTAGCAGCGCAATCTTTTCCTTTGACAGAAGGCAATCAAATTTCTTAGTTGTTTAAATAGTTTTCTTTAAAAAGGTGTTCTTATAGACAAGAAATATGACCACTGAAGATTGGATTTCTTTTCCCTATGATGTACTGAGGGCCTTGTGGAGCTGATTCTAATTCTTTCACTATTTCCTTGAGACAATGATTGCAGTGATAAATGGTCATTTGTTTGGCCTGCTTACTTACAAGTGGTTGTGTAGAAGTCACGTTAGTTCAGTGTTGTGACCTCAGTACTGAATGCCAAAACTGCCAGGTTGTTTGTTGGAAAACTGTGGGAATGTCTGTGAAATTAAATTATATTTATAGGCCATTGCTTTCTTCCAAAGACAGGGAAGCATATCTTTCTTGGGAGCTAAATTTCTGTTTTACTTTTTTTGATCCGTGATGTACAGAATGTGAGAATTTCCTATTTTTCAAAAAGTCAAATTATTTTTTTATTTGTGTATAGGTTTTGGTGGTGCAAAAGTGAAGAAAATGAGTTCTGAAATGCAAAAACTTCTGTTATTAACGTTTTCTACTCCTGAAAAAGCAGAAAGAATGTCTTGGAAGATCAGAGTTGAGAGTGTCTCTTTTATGTTAAGAATTAAAGTGGACAAAAACTGGAGAGAGGGGAGAAAATGCTCCCATATCTCTAGGCCAGAAGTATATTAGTAGAGGGAGGGTTGGAAATGGTAGAGTATGTTGAAAGACTGAGTGTGTGCATGCACATTTCCTAAACAACATTCTTTTTTTTTTTGTTTGCATTTGAAAATTGGTTTTTTCAGTGTCAATATGAAAAAGTTGCATCAAACCTAGTTTTGGTGTGTCCTTATCTACTATATTAAAAAATGTAGCTTTTATTGGCTAATATGCATCAGATCTATTAATTATTGAATTTTTTTGCATTGTTGAGAGTAATTTCTACAGTAGTCTCCAGTGATTCTGCAGCCTCAGGGTCTGCTGAATCCTTGAATGAGTCAGGAGGAGTAGAATCAGTTTCTTGAAAACAGTGTAACTTTACCCAAAAAGAAGCACCAATTTGTTCTATTCAGGGAAGATTGTACGAAGAAATTTCTCTTAGCAATAACGCATCTGTTACCAATACTGTTCTCTCAATGAAATGAGAATTTTTTTCCTTCTCGTAAACCTTAGAATTCTTTATTTTATACCTCATGTGGTAGTCTCATTCATTAAAACAGTGAACAAAGCAATAATTATAGTGTCTTCCAAAGGTGGACTCGAATTATCTGCTCTTCCAGAGTGTTTTGAAAGTTCATTATTAAAGCTTAACCTTATCTAATTGTAAAGTGATTTCATTCTTGTTTTACATGAGATGAAAATATAAGCTGAAAAACAGTGCATTCGGATTCTCCTAATGTGAGGAAACAGAAGAAAATGTAAACGGCCTCTTAAAAAAAAGTGTGTTGAGTTTTCATACTATACCTCTTAATTAGCAGTGATCTCCAAAACTGACAGAAAAAAAATCCAGCTTCCAGGGCAGCTGGGCACTAATGATCCTAATAATGCTTCTAAATGCAATTAACAGAAAGACTATCTAGATAATTATGCTGCCTCTTTGTAAAACTTTAATTATTACTTTCCTCACAGGTTAAAAAAATGAACTGAAGGCAGCTCCCATCTTTTAACAATGTGTTACTGTAACTTTTGCGTTGTTTCCTGAAAAGTATACAGATCTTAGATATTTTGGCACCCCTTTGCAATCATCTGAGTCAATACAGCCTCTACAGCCTTTTGCACTTGTTGAAACAGAGACT